GTTCCCAGGCCGGTGCTGCTCTCTCGCGGTGGATCTCAGGAATCGGTCGGGGCCTGCACATGTGGCTCTCCCCAGACCCAGGACTCGAGGGACTGTTTGCCAGCACAGTAGTCAGGTCGTAACATCGAAGAGCTAAAGGCTGTTGCACATGGAGTTTTTAGCCCGTGCACGTTGTCAGGAATCAGTGAATTTCTCTGCCCCTCCGCGGTTCCTCCCCGTGCCCCTCGCTCCCTGCGTGTGGATCCTCTGAAGGCTGTGAGCAGTGCTCTGTGTTCCTGGCCTGGCTGCTCTGTGGGTGCTGTGGGAAGCAAGGGACAAAGTGCTGGCAAATGCCACTGAAATGATGCTCATCTAAACTGCTGAGCTTCACAGCCAGTGCTGGTGGGTATTTGCCCTCTGTTACCATCACCAAATACAGAACAGCAGGTCCCTAACAGTGACAACTATATCACATCATTTGTGAGCCTAATGCTCAGAAACTGTGTCTGACCCTTTGGGCTCTGTGATTTTTAGAGACAGCGTGTGAGACTGAGGCAGTGCCTGCACTGCACAGCATTCTGAGTGGCTTTACTGTGCCCCTCACATTTCCCTTCTGTCTGACAAAGCATTTCTTTCCCTTCACAGGGGAACCTGTTCAAATTGCAATGAGTCTGGACATTGCAAGTATTTCTAGTATATCTGAGAGTGACATGGTAAGTGAAAGAATTTTTATTTTACGAGATCGATATTTGGTGAGTGGGATTTGCCTGAGAGACTGGACATGGTTTCCCGTGTGGTCAGCACAGAAATGCTCATATTGAAACTGCTTTGCTGCTCTGTGGCTATTGACCACTCTCAGAGGTGTGATGGGGCACAATTATGACTGCAGACTGTGTAGGTAATGTGGGTTTGTAAGTAAATAGAAATGTCTCCAAAGGTCCTACTGGACCAAAACATTCAGCACCTTCTGGAAATCAGGCCCCATGGAGATGGAGAAATCAGTCCTGTGTGACATTTCTTCTCCCTCACCTGTCTTCCATATAAGACCCCTCTGTGTGGGGAAGGGTGAGCTCTGTGGGAAATGCTGGCACTGACTGAACTCCCAGACAAGGTTTCTTCTCAAGGAGAAGTGAGGATTTGATCTGTGACACAGTCTGAGGCTCAAGGGAAAGAAAGGCTCATCCCAAGAAAAGAAAAAAGCAATTTTTAAATATACAGAGAACATCTTCCCAGCACTGAGGAGTCTGGTTCCTTCCACAGCTGGATTTCAAACACTGATCACTGAAAGATCCTCTTTCAAGTTGACCAAAATTATGGGTAAATTCAGCAAATAGTTCCAGTCCAGTCAGTCAGATGTTCAGTCAGGAACAATTTGAACTCTTAATTTCACCATTTTCAAGACCACCACCACCATTTTTTTTCTAGCTCTTCCCAGCAGATTGAACAAGTTCACTAAACAAAATATTGTAATTTTGCCAAATCAATTCATTTTGGGGAAGAGCAGAACTAACTAAATCAATTGTTCACATACCTCTGTTTTAATTGAAGTGCCTTGTAAAACAGTTCGTGTTCTATAGCTTTTCTTATGTTCCATCTTAATTGCTCTGACCATATGGAAAAGATTGCAGAGGCTCCCTCTGTGCCTCAATAAAAGCTGGAAAATCAACCAGGATTCTTCACTTTTGTCACTACTATAATTCACTGTATTGAAAGCCATAACAGTGCATTATTTGACATGGGTTCTCTCCATCACAGGCTGAGAGTAAAATTTTTAAAGTTGCCAAAGCTAATGCTGATACTCCTTCATTCCATAAAGCACTTTTAAAATTAGAGATGGAATGAGGCAGAACTGCTTCATCCTCCACTACCAGGCAGCAGTTCTGTGGTGAAACACAGCGACTTCAAGCTGCTACCCCAAGTGCCAGTGTCAGTCTGTCTGTGACAGAGATGTTCTGAAAATAAAAGGCATTACTGGCTGCATTTACTTTGACTGTAAGGAAGTGAAATAGTCCAACAGTGCCTGTGTGTGTCCAGAAGGCTCAGCAAAGCAGCAGCTTCAGAGCTGAGTGGGTGCTGCTTATTCTTTTTTCTTGGAGCACTGTGGAAATGCTCCAGTCACTGCAGGTTGATTTTGGTAGGCTAAACTCAAGTTAATCCCAGTGTCTTTCCATTCAAAACTGAATCAGTTAGGTTGGAAGGGACCACAGTGTGTCATTTGGTCCCACCCCCCTGCTCAAGCAGGGCCATCCCAGAGCACATGGCACAGGATTGTGTCCAGATAGTTCTGGAATATCTCCAGTGAGGGAGAATCCATGACCTCTCTGGGCAATCTGTTCCAGTGCTTGGTCACTGCACAGTATAGAATTTTTTCCTCATGTTCAGGTGGAATTTCCTGTGTACAAGTTTCTGCTGTTACCTCTTGTTTTATTGGTTTGCACCACTAAGCAGAGTCTGATCCATCTCCTTGGCACCTCCTTTAGACACTTGAATACGTTAATGAAGTCCCTCTGAGTTGTCTCTTCTCAAGGCTGAACAGGCCCAACTCCCTCAGCCTTTCCTTGTAACTTATTGCTCCAGTCCCTTCAGCATCTTTGTTGCCCTTTGCTCCTTGTCCCTCATGTACTGAGGAGCCCAGAACTGGGCACAATACTCCAGATGTACCTCATGCAGGCAGAGTGGAGAGACAGGATCACCTCCTTCAACCTGCTGGCAGTGCTCTCCCTAATTCATCCCAGGATTCTGCTGGCCTTCTTAGCCCCCAGGGCACACTGTTGACTCATGGACAGCTTGTTGTCCAGCAGGTCAGTGCCCAACCAGCTCAGGGCTATTCCTCCCCAGGTTCAGGACCTGCACTTGCCCTTGTTGAACTTCAGTTTGTTCTTCTCTGCCCATCTCTCCAACCTGCTGAGGCCTGGAGCTTCTTTGAACTTGGCTGTGATAGGTTAACCAAATGTGTGTTCTGTCTCTTGTCACACATGGCATGCCCACAGTGTGCTGTGCAAATTTTACCATGCATCCTCACAGGTTCTCCTCTTTATCCTAGGATTACACAGCTACCATATACCTGCGGCAGCGCTGGACAGACCCTCGGCTGGTCTTTCACGGCAACAAGAGCTTCACACTAGATGCTCGTCTGGTGGAGCTGCTCTGGGTGCCAGACACATACATTGTGGAGTCCAAGAGGTCCTTCCTGCATGAGGTCACTGTGGGCAACCGCCTCATAAGGCTGTTCTCTAATGGCACTATCTTGTATGCCCTAAGGTAAGTCAGCCTTTGGCTTTGCTGCTGATGCTTCAGATAGATTTCCAGAATTACACAGATAGCAGCTGTCATGGGTAATGAGTTTGGGGGCAACAAGCCAACTGTGACCATACTCCTCCAGTCCATTTCCCCCTCTTCTGGCCTCCTGGAAATGCCAGTCAAGGATCAGGATTCCCCCAGTCTGTGTCCTGAGCCTGGTGCCTGCTCAGAAAGCTCACAAGTGTAGGTGTCACCCAATCTGAGTCAGATAGAGTGGAAGGAGGACATTGTAACAGGAAAAGTTTAACTGCTAGTGGGAAACTATTCCCTCATCCAGTGCTATGTAGCCATGACACCTGCTTTTTAGCAAGAAGTGTATTTATCTGCAGGAATGTGCACTGCAGTTGTGTTAGTAATTCCTACAGTGCTGTCTCTCCTCAGCTCACAGGAACTCAGTTCCAGTTACCTCAGCTGCAAAGTACAACTCACTGACCTCCACATCAGAGCAAGCCAGAGTATGGGTGCAGTTAGTTGCTGTGCCTCAGGTCACAAGTGGTGACTTCTTAAGATGTCTAAGCTGTAGCACTGGAAAAAAAAAGTGAATCTACACTAAATCTCTGGCCAGAACAAAGCAAAATTCCTTCTTGGGTCACATTTTCATCAGGGTGTCTGCATGTTCTTAAGGAGGGTTCACTGTATCAGTTCATTCATTTCATAGGTCAGAATAACCTAAGGGACAGAGCAGAGTCTCTGTGATCTGGTTTGCCATGTGAAACAGCTAATTCATTACGTGCTTTTATTGCAACCTTTAGAGTTCTTTCTCTTCCTACAGAATCACTACTACTGTTGCCTGCAACATGGACCTGTCAAAATATCCTATGGACACACAAACATGCAGACTGCAGCTAGAAAGCTGTAAGTTAACATTCCTGAAAACTCTAAATTTGTTTATTCATAAGTGACTATGCATCTTGAATATCTGGAGTCAGCACAGAGGCTTCCTGGAGCAGGCTTTTATTCCTGCCAATACTAATGTCTGAAAGAAAACAACTTCTGCCTCATCATTCTTCCAGTGCTTGTGTTGTAATCCACAGTCCAGAGCATTCCTGTCACTGTGCAGTGTATGCAAAAAGAGTGATGATAAATAATACTTTTATTAAAGTGTGGATAGTTCAGTTCAGCACAGAAAGAATGAAATAATATTAGCTGATTCCTTTTGCACACACAGCTTCTTCCAAACTAACTTGTGGGGTAAGTGCATGGAAGGGAGTACAGCAAGGAACAACTTCTCATATTTTTAGGTATCTGCTACCTATTGCACTCCCCAAATCTCCACTGCAACAAGACAGTGTGAAGGGTGGTTCTCAATGGAATGAGCTGAACATGGCTCTCAAACTCATGAGCTGAAAGGAAGACCAAACCCATCCTTGTGGTATCTGCTCCTCTGTGAGGGCTGACTGCTGCAGTGATGCAGAGGATGGGACCCTTGTCAACGGAGGAGATTTAGTCTGGGAAGTTTCAAGAAAAGGAATTATCAGTGAATTCTGTTCTCAGGTTAAAAGCTATGGCAATACTGGCTGAGAAGGACTTCAGGAAATTGAGGCCGCTCCAGGGCTGTTAGCACAGCACTCAGCCAGCACAGTGCTGCTGCTCTGTACCTGTGAAGCTCCATGAGGACCAGGCAGTCACCTCCTGCTTCATGGCACAAAACCAACCATCTACCATCTCAGCACTGAAAAGACCAGATTTTTAACTTCTGGGGTTGCCGCATGAAGCACCTAGGGAAGCACATATTATTTTCACATTAAAATCATATTAGTTCACCATGGTTAACTTTGTTACGAAGAATAGCTCCTGAAATAATAATGATTGGCCTCTTCTGCTAAAGTGGAGCTTGTTTGGGCCTGGTTTAAAAGTGATTGGGTCCTATATCATGCTCAGTTGCTGTATAATTCCAATGAAATTACATGCACATTGCCCACTGGAGATTTCATTAGGATAAGTGCCCAGAAATAATGCTATTTAAATACACATCAGATGAATTAACAACAATCTATCATTTATTATAAAATTTTCCTGAGTAACCACGATTTATAAAACCACTTAGGAACTTTGAAGAGTCACATGCTTAGGATTGTACACACAGGGATTCATACTCTGGACACCTAATTTAGGAGTTCGTCACGCTCAAGCTCTGGTAATTTGTGTCTAATAAGAAAACACAATTAGATGGAAATAGAGCTGCAACTGAATCCAATTCCTTCTACCAGGATGAACTGGTTATTACCAGAGTCACATCCCCACTCATGGTCTCAAAGAAGAGCTCAGGAAAACAATTAAATCAGTGAGACTGATGGGCTTGTTTCCTAAATTAAGTGAAATATTTGAAGAGAATGACAGACTCAGTACAAGCTTTATACCTCAGACTGAGGTATCCATCAGTCCAACCTGAGGCATCGTCATGCATGACTGACATTCCTGGAGGCATAGATGGAGTCCCACTGTTTTGAGGCAGGAATTTGGTGTTGCCTAAATGTTTTGTGCATTTATTTTTTCCTCAGTAACCTAAAGCCTTTGGGGATAGAATGAATGATTTGCAGAAAAAGGTGCTTTTATGAGCAAGTTTTCTGGACAATGCATACCCAGCAGAGGAATCTGGTTCATAACCAGTCTCAGCTCTAAGCTCTTGACTAACTGAAAATGTATTTTCTGTTGTTTTTAAGCACTTGAATAGATGATTCATGAAATGTGCTTCTGCTCCGTGGTGAGGGGCTCAGTGGGATCTGAATTCTCTTTCTTTAACCACTGTATTTCTCCTGCTCTTCTCTCAGACTGGAGACACTGCATTAGAGGGTTGATAGCTGCAGTACTTCTATCCTGCTTCTTGTAACCAAGCTATGGATCACAGTAATAAATCACCTTTTAAAATAGAAATACCCCATGTAAATGATCGAAATAGGTTCTTAGCAGCCCTGCATGTTGTGTGTCATCCCCAGGGGTGTGTGTCATCCCCAGGGGCATGTGTCCCAGTTAAAATTTGAGCAGCAAAGTGCAGTGATGAAAGCACAGCCGACGTCCACTGGTGGTTTGACACAGCTCAGGGGGGCTCTGTCCAGCCTGCCATGCCTGGATCATGGTTCTGTTCACCCTCAGGAGGCAGAGCAGGGCAGCAGCTTGGCTTTTACTGGCTCAACCACAGTCACACAGGTTTCTGTGTTCTCCTCAGGGGGCTATGATGAAAACGATGTCGTCTTCGTGTGGCTGAGAGGAAATGACTCTGTCCATGGCATAGAGAAGCTGCGTCTCTCTCAGTACACGGTGGAGCGTTACTACACTCTGGTCTCCAAGTCGCAGCAGGAGACAGGTAAATCCATGAAAGCAAAAAGCTCCTCAGTATTTCCCATCCCAATGTGACATCCCACCCACCTCCCCCCTTCCTATGGGCCAGTATCGTTTGACTCATGCCTGAATCAGCAAAGTCTTCAGCAAATCTTGATCTCACAACAAGAGATGGACAGAAAGATGGTGAAATCCTATTTGTTGCAATCAGGATATTCTGTAAGATGGAAATCCACAGAAATATGGAGGTATAAAGTATATTGTATTCATTTGACAGATTTTCAGTATTTTATCTTTTTTAATTCTGGTTTTTTCCTTCACACATACCTGAAGAAACTCTCTCCCTTCTTCCCAGGTGTGCAGTGTACTGCAGGGTGCAATGTTTACAGTAACTGGGGGTAAAATTAACTTCTAAAATATACTTTTGTTTGTAAATTACAATCCAATCATGATGGAATAACATCTCTTTGTACATCAGAATTCAATGTCTTTTTCATTATCAGTGTGAACACTCTCCTGTCCAACCCCAGACACTATGAAAGGGGGTGAAACTTGCTTAGAATGAACAGGTTTTACAAACAACAATGTTGTGTTGGTTTTTTACGTACACAGCCCATCAACAACACAGACTTTGTTTCTGCTTTCAAAGGGAACTATTGTTTGAACAGCAGAACTATCTCCTGAGAACACAACTGATCCAGTCCCAGAACACTTATGTCAGAGTTAGGACAAACTGATTTTAAAAAATTGTCCACATTTTTTTGAGCACAAAAAGACACAATTATCTCAATTACTAATGAACACAGGGCCCTAATGCCCTGTGATGATAAGGTACTGGGGTGCTTTGGGATGTGAACCAGAGCCTGCTGAAATTGAGACAAATCTTTTGTCTGTTCTCAGCCATCAGATAAGGCTGAACTTGGCAATGTCCCTTCAGAGTGGGTATTGGGAAAGGTGCACTGTGCTGAGTGTGAGAGAACAGGTGACAGCATCAGCTCTGCTCTGCCCTGACTTACAGCACTGGTGTAACATGTTCCCACTGTGGCTGAAGTCCGGGAGCCCCTTTGCTGTCCCTGCAGTGTTGAGATGTCTCTTGCCCCACAGTGCTGTGTGTCCTTTAAGGTATGATGTGTTAGCTAAGCCCTCTGAGGTGTAAGCAATGCCTCTCCCATGATCATGATGTGGCTCTGCTGAGGTCCATCAGCTGCAGGGCTGTCCCAGTTTCAATGCAGCTGTCCTTGAGAATCTCATGTTCACCAGATTTCTTCCTTTCATGAACAGGCAGTTACCCACGACTGATACTGCAGTTTGAGCTGAGAAGAAATGTGCTTTACTTCATTTTGGAGACCTATGTACCCTCCACTCTGCTTGTCATGTTGTCCTGGGTTTCTTTTTGGATCACACTGGATTCAGTCCCTGCAAGAACCTGCATTGGTGAGTTATTGCCTGAGGGATGGAGAAGCTTTAAGCAGGCAGGGGCACCTCTCAGGGCTGGGTAGATGGTACTTCTCCTGAGCTCTCTACTCAGGGATAAATGTTCTGCTCACCTTCTGCTGCTCCTGGGGGCAGAGCTGGGTTAGTGTGGAGGATTGCTGTGGCAGGTACATGTGACCACCTGCAGAGATGCATGTGGTCAAGGCTCCTAGGAGACTCACAGCAGAGAGCAGAGAACAGAGCACATGTTCTTTGTGATGTGCTTTGGAGGGAGCATGACAGGGGGGAATTTTTTACTGAATGCAAGAAGAGAGCCAAGTGCCTATTAGAGTCAAGTTGTCAAGGGCAGGGAGAGCCTGTGTGAAGGTAGTAGCTAGTGCTGCAAAAGCATTTCAGTTGCTGTCATGGATGATTTGGACCTGGTAAAAAGTGATGTGCTTTATCTGGTTAGCAACAGAGAGCAAGAACATATGCAGAAGGATAGGTCAAGACTTTCCCAGAGTTGCCACCAGAGAAGGTCTCTCCTTTTCTGCTTTCCAAGGAGTTACAACAGTGCTTTCCATGACAACTCTGATGATTGGCTCACGAAGTTCACTTTCCAAAACCAACTGTTTCATTAAGGCCATCGATGTTTACCTTGGCATCTGCTTCAGCTTCATCTTTGGTGCCCTTGTGGAATATGCTGTGGCTCACTACAGCTCATCACAGAAGTGTGCAGCTAAAATACCCCAGGAGGTAAGGCCTGATGCACCTCAATAAACCCAGCAATGTTGGATTGACAGCACTTAGTTCTCCATTCACTGAGTAAGACAAATGATCTTCCTGTCACAGGTACATTAACAATTGCTTCTCCTATTTGGCTCTAAACTAATTTTTGTGTGCAACAAACATGAATAGAGTGCTGTGTCTCTGAGAGACTTCTGAGCATCAGCCTTAGCTGTCAGTCTTGTTGTGTTCATAAGAAGGGAGGCACTTTGGCCTGACACTGGAATCAGCCCCAAGCTGAGCTCACCTGAGCACAAAGCACCTCTGATCCTTTCAAAATGCAGCCAAAAAAGAGACAGTATAGCACATCTCTTTACTCTTCTGCAGAATAACTCCCATTAGGAAGGTAATTCCCTCTACAAGAGGAAAGACGAACCCTTCTTCCTCCCTTCCCACGAGCCACTACCAAACATCAGTCCCACAGTGTTCTGTGGGGATTGCCAGGGTGAATTGTTCAAGTGCTGCTTTAGTATGAGAAATTAAACAGTCAGGTATGACTACAGTCCAGTGGTCATTGAGGGCCCAAATCCTGCCAGAAGGAAAAGAGATTTCCCACCTCAATGCTGAGTCCCCAGCCATTAAATTGCTGTGTAGACCTGAAGAGATGGATGCTCTGTGGGACGTGGATGTTGGGTTGCTCAGTGGCAGAGTGAGACTTGCTCAAAGATCTCAAAATACCTCTAGAAATACAGTGGCAGAAGCAGAGTCATCTCTGGGACCTCAAGCCCTCCTAAAAATAGGCAGCAGCTGAAAGGTATGTTTGAATATTGGAATGACCACATATGAAGCTGTGCTCTTGTATCTTTATCCTTATGGTCTCCTTATTGGTTAAAGCATTTTTCATCTGCAGGAGAAGACAAACCCTAAAACTAACTGTGCACTCATGTATCCTAGGGGCCTGCAAATGAACTCACTAAAGAAATGGAAGAAGTCAACATCACTAACATCCTCAACAGTTCCATCGCCAGCTATAAACAGAAAATCAGCTTCACAAGCATTGAGATTTCCAGCGATAACGTTAACTGCAGTGACTTGACCATGAAAACCCATGAGAAAATCAAATGTGTCTTGAGAAACAAAATGCACAGGATTATTGGTTATTTCACAATTCAGAACCCTGGCAATGTGGACCACTACTCCAAAGTGCTTTTCCCTTTGTTTTTCATGCTGGTCAATGTGTTTTATTGGGCTTATTATCTATATTTTTAGTATAAATTAGTTGCTTCATTGTCCTATTCACATCCAGGTACCTAACCTCAGTGCACCCAGGTACCTAACCTCAGTGCATCCAGGTACCTAACCTCAGTGCACCCAGGTACCTAACCTCAGTGCATCCAGGTACCTAACCTCAGTGCACCCAGGTACCTAACCTCAGTGCATCCAGGTACCTAACCTCAGTGAATTCAACATGGACAACACACTTTGTTGTGTTTCCTGAGGTGCCCAGCAGAAGAGTGTGTGAGGTGTGCAAGATGCAAAGCTTTGGTGTGTCAGCATCGGCGGCATTGACTCTGAACAGCTGCCTGTTCAGCTGAGTGGCTGTGCTAGGCTCTTCTGCTCATACCTGCCCATTCCAGCCTCTCTCCTGGCTGAAGATGGGTGTGCAGGACTGCACATGGCAGGGCCACAGAGCACTGCAGCTGGCAAAGCCATTTTGGTAGCCTGGAGCAGGTTGGAACCTTCAAGTTTAGATCTCCAAGTGGCTGTATGGGAGTATGGCTGTTATTCTTTGTTTGCCAGAGATAACAGAGGGTCTGTGCCTGCTGCCTCAATAGCTGCTCTGTTCAAGTGGGAGAACTGGAGGGCAGCACAGGAACATTCCCGTGCATGGTGCTGCCTTGTCCTGGGGTGAGGCAGTGCCAGGCCAGTGATTCTGGAGCTGCAGTGCTGTGCCTCACTGTGTTTACACCTGTCACTCACTGAGGTAATCCTCACTGCTGAAGTTCTCCATCCCTGAGACAGATAGAGGGATTGTTGTTTGTAGAGCTGCACTTCTTCAGAGACAGAAATAGAGGCAGCAAAATCGTTTTGTAACCTGCCTCTTATCCTTTTCCTGCTGTGCTGCAGTGGAACAGATTCTGCCACCTTCTATGTGTCCCACAGAAATTGCTTTTCACCCTGGACAGTGCTCCCTTCAGCTTCCACTGCTATGAGCTGCTCTTGCTTCTTGCCAGCCCTAGGCACGGAACGGCCCGTTTGTCATCCCCTCTGAGGCAAGTGGGCAGTGCTGCTGGGTGAAAAACCCATGCCTAGGCTGAGGTAGGGAAGTCTAAATCACCCTTTCACTCTATTTTAGCATCAAACAATGTTACTTTTTTTTGTCAGAAATTCAGATTCTAAGTGGGCTCTGGAAACTGCCCAAAGTCAGCTTTGTTTATCCTGCAATCAGCAGGACCCGGAGGTTTCTTTGGAAGATAAATTAAATGTGGCACACACACACAGTTATATTTGAGAACCAAATGCCATTTGGTGCTGTGTAGCTCAAGGCTAGGGAAAGTCTTTATTTTCTGATTGTAAAATGAAGGTTTTATGGCAGATTC